GGGGGGATTGACTAGGGCTGCGATATTGCTATTACCGACCTCGGTGCCTTGAACGTTTGTGGTCTCGATACCGAATACGTGTAACGAGCCTACACCATGGATCGCATCCTGCCTCAAAAACGCTGGCCGAGAGATAGTCATTGTCTCTCTATAGGGGAGGCGACGCTGATCTTATTGACTAGACGGTGTCGTCGCACGTGTCCCAAGTCCTGTAGGAGTAGCCGAGACGCCAACTCTTGTTGGGGCTGAGACATGTGCCGTGTTGACCAATGGAGCGCTTGAGTGCGGGATGGTCGAGGACAGTGTAGGAGGTTCCATCGGCGTTGGTGATGGTGCCTTCGATATAAGATTCGGTCTCGACAACGGTCTCGACCGCAGCCTCAGCAGTGTTTACAGCGTCCTTGGAGATGACGGCCCCGGATTTGAGGGTGGTGGCATTGAGGTGGAGAACAATGTTGAGGCCCGCAAGTCGATGACTTGGGGGTGGGCTTGCAAGGCTGGAATTTTCTGGTGAAGGCTGACTGATATGGAGAGTGACTGAAGTTGCCTTGAAGATGGATCGATAACAATCAGTATGACAGTGAGGAAACAAAGAGAAAAGACTGTGAACATAGAGAAGCCAGTGAGATTCGGTGATAATAGCTGTTTATCAAGATGTACGGCTTGCATAGTTCAATATCCTCAATAACCTTCGCAAAACTGGAAATGCATGTGTACACCCATAGCGAGATCACGTCTAGTGTTTGAAAATTACCAACTGAACCATTTTCATTTTGATATAATACAAATGCTTATCAGTGGTCCTGCATCATACGACCCTCCATATTACCGCTCATTATCAGCAGCTTGAGCTTCTCTTTTGTCAGGCCTTACTGTACTTGGTGTGTCTCATAACCATCTGCTCATCCTTCGTAAGGAAAAAGTAGCAGCACAAGATGGATCCAGCCCTCAAAGTTGTCCCTGAACTCCCATGGCCACTCTTCAATCAAATGATATCCCCTCCGAAACCACCAAACCCCCCTCCACCAAAGCCCCTCCCTCCTCCGCGTCCAGGTCTATCCCCGCCAAACCTCGGCATACCTCCAGGACCCACTGGATCCCACCTAGCGCCCGGCGGCGCTTGGTCATCATAGCCTCCTTCTCCCTCTCCATTTCCTCCTCGCGGGCCCTGGAAGAGTGGATCATCAAAAGTCGGGTGCATACCACCAGTCCCGAACCCACCAGGTCCTCTCCCTCCGGGTCCACCAAGCGGCGGTGCAAACGATCCCCTGATGGGATCATCCGGGCCCAGACCGGCTGGGTAGAGATCACTTCTCCCGTAATCACTTCTTCCTCCTTGGTTCGGTCCGCCCACGAAGCCCGGCAGGCCGCCGCCGCGAGGGTGGCGGTTAATCTCGTATTCGTCCTCAAAGCCCGGAGGCGGGAAGTCTCCAGTCGGAATCGGTCGACGGGCAGGCGGCTCGAGGTCGTCCGGGTAAGGGTACGGTTGAGCGGGCTCAGGCATGAGCGGATGCAAAGGCTGTTGAGGTCCGGGAGGAGGTTGACGAGAACCGCCTGCGCGACGGCCAGCTTCATCCGCATCTTGCCTTGCAGCGCGATGGTCGGGACTCTCCTCGTACCCCTCCTTCTGCAGACTGGGGACGAGGCGCTGGATGATGTTGATCTTGAGCAGCGACGCCAGGTCGGCGATGCGTTCGTCCGAGATGAACACCTTCTTTAGCTTCTCAGGGAGGTCGCTTCGGTCCTCTTCGCCAGTCTCTTCAGAAATAGGAATCCGAATGGGCAGAGCAGCAGCCGACACATAATCCCTAGTCGTGATTTCAAACCGCGCAATCCGTTCATCGCCCATACCCAGCCCGCGGATCTCAATCTTGGAACCCATGCGGTCGATGCGAATGACGTAGCGCATCGATGATTGTTCGTGTGCGTAGACGAAGCAGTGCGAAGACAGGCTGCGGTTCCATGAGCTGGGCAGGCGCGGGGCGAGGGATTGGCATTCGGCTTGTTCTTCGGGCTTGCTGTCCTCGGAAAAGCCGATCAGGCGGAAGCCGACGGAGGTCATGGCTGCGTGTACAAAGAGGGCGATGGCATCGAGGGAGCTGCTGAGGTCCGATGTAGTGTCGTCTTTGGCGTGCGTGGGGAGGGCGGCGGCCATGCCGTCTAGGATGGCGGCGGGGCTTAATGGGGGCGCCATCGTGGTGGTTGGCGTGGTTTGTTTCGATTAAGTTGATACGTGATGTCCTTGAGGTAATTAAACTAGATGTTGATGGCGTTGAAGTTTGCGACCGGTTCTGTCGATGTGTTGTTTGCAGAAGTGAGGTTGGGGTTTTAGCTGGGATTCACGTCATCCAGCGGGGGAGGGAGCTCAGTTCATGTACCCCGAGTTACCCCACACCAACCTTTAGGCAAGCAAGACGCAACGTCAATGTGACACTCGTGGGTGATTAACAACCTTTGATTGCGTATTTTGATGGGAGGAAAATAGGTAGATCTCCTCTTGCTGAAATAATGCCTAAACCGAGGTGGTACAGTGAGGAGAGGTGGAAAGTTGATGTTCGGTATTGGTCAGTGTAAATGTCCTGTAATTTATAACGCCACTTCCCCCTTTCAGCCCTACAGTTCACCCCTGGAAAGTTCGTTAGCGTGGTACTTGTAAGCAGCTTTCGACAAGGGGAGCGAAGGGGATCTGTAAACATATAGAATACGGGCACGAGCAGGGGTATTGATTCAGTAGAGGGTGCCCACTGTGTATTGTCTAGAGCTCTATACTGGGGAAATCCTTTATATAGAAAATCTAGTATCGAGGTAATACTAGTGTGGCCCGCTTACGTAAAGTCTGGGCTGGCTACCCTGGTTACCTCTTTTATCTGACAAAACACCCTATAACTTACCAATTAGAGGAGGTAGCAAGGGTAAGTCTAAGTGTTTTTAGTGATTTGGGCACCCTGGCTGGAGAAAAAAACCATGTGTGTGCGTGAGCTGTCTGAATTGTCTGTCAACTCTTTCTCACTTTGAAATCAAGCAATTTCAACCAATCAGAGCCTGTAGATAGATGTGTCCAAGCTTGCAACTCCCCCTGTTGGGTGATGTGGGGCGAGTAACACGCTAACAAACTTTCCAGCATTGATCTGTACAACGGTGGAGGTGACGATCAGCACTAGGGTCGTGGCACTTCGTTATCTTATCGCACCTCCTCAGTAACCGGATCTGTGAATGGTCCGTTGTCCTTTCCAATACACTCCTCAATTATGCAATTAAATCCGCATCAAAACACCGGATTTTACCGCGTCATAAAAAACAATCATAAATTATTTACACAGGCATACTTGGCCCATCATCATCGCCCTCTTGTACCGTTACATATGAGTATTTCTGTCGTCATCGACCGACACCCTTTTGAACCACTCGGCATCAACAGGATCATTGACGACCATGGTGATGATTATAATACCCGATAGGCCAGTTCTGATCCACGATATCCGCCCGAATGTACAAAGCCGACGAGTTTAATGCATACTTTGAGTCCTCCGGATGGCGATCCAAGCAGAACTTTTTGTAGCCGGGGAAGGCAGTGCTCATAGGTCGTTCGTGAGGTGGGACCGGAGTAGGTTGCTGATGATGCTGGTGCTGGTGCTGGTGCTGGTGTTGGTGGTTTCTGCTATCAACAGTGACTGAATGTTAGCTCCACGACGACCAACCAACTTGACTAAATCGCAGAAGAGAGACTGGAAAAAACTCACAGTCCATCATCACCACCCCCTCCTCTCTGCCCACCATGTCCATGACCCCCGTCCCTCGACCCCCTCCTTCTTCCTCCTCCTCCTCCCCCATTGATGTTCCCCTCACCAAACCGACACCCCACATCATGCCACCCATCTGTAACCTGATCCCTCCACAGTATCGCAGCCGGCTGCTTTCCATCAATCCTGACCTGCATGATCGGAATCATCTGATTCGGCGCGATCCAGAGCATCTGATGGCGATCAATCCCCTCGATATCCCTTTCCTCATTGGGAGTGTCGCTGTCAAACACAGCCACAAATACGGTCTCGTCGTGGAAAAAATCCGACCGGCTGACTAGGTACCGCTTCTCGTCATCCGAGTAATTGGGCGTGTCGTGGAAGACAAGATGCACTTGCGAGACACCGGGCATGGAGGGGATGGGAAAACCCCAGCCGGGGTAGGGGGGCACTTCATGCTCGGGGGCTGGGGTGCCGTTGTTGCTTTCATGACCGTAGCCATGGTTGAGGTTGTGGTCGAGGTTGAGCTGGGGGGAGGTCAGAAAATGGACGAGATCGAAAGCGATTTCGTGCCGGAGCATGGCGCGCTTGTCATGGTCACGCCGGAGGGTGGAGGTGGTGGTGGGCGAGGAGGGGTCCGTGGGCGAGACGTCCCAGAAGGAACCGAGCTTATAACAGACAATTTCGATAACGCCCCATGTGGAGAGTGGCGGGAGAAGCGGGAGGATGCGGGCGATCTTGCGAGAAATGGAATACTCTTGGAGGAGAGGCGAGTGTTGGATTTTGAGGAACTCGTTGTAGACGATGAGGGAGCGGTCCTCGCTGGACAGAGAGCTTGAGCTGTGTTGATAAGGTGTTAGCATCACTATGGTTGCTTGGCGGTTTTCAAAAGATTAAACCAGGACTCACGAGTCTTCGCTGTCGCTGGACATGGTGATGCTTTTTATTTAGGGAGTCGTCAAAAAAGGTAAGTGAAAAATGATGATGATACTCTGCATGTGGAAAGAAAGAAGCGAGTGCTGATTGGTAGAAGAGAAATGTATAAATGTCAACAAACAGACTCGGCTAACAAACAAAAACAAATCAACGTTTCCAAACGAGTGTTCCCACAGCAATAGACCAACGAGACTAGCAGCTAGTACTGCAGCTTCTACTGGCCCTTGTGTACTGACGAGGCTCGTGGGGAATATGTCCAATCCTTTCCATACTTATATTTTTTTTTTCCATCTCCTACCCTCTCATGAACAATTGCTCCGAGTAAAGCCAGGGATCTCGATCAAACATGCTATTCCCCCCATGAACCCTGTATGAACTTCCTCTTCAATGTCGAGTCTGACGAACAGATTTAGGCTTATGAGCCCTTGCAAGCTTTGATTGAATCACCGGTCTTCAAAAGCTTTCCCAAGGGTACCCTCCCCTTCCTTCTCCTTGGGCTTCACCTCTTCTTCGGCTCCAGAAGCAACAGTCTTGTCCCAACCCCAACTCCAGGTCATGGCTTCCGGCATATCCAACGAGGTATTGGTCGTTTACCTCCCGTACTACCACCGTGGGCATCAAAATCATGTTATCATCCACATTGTTTCCTTTTCCCTCTCCATGACCCATGAGCCCCTGACCTTGAACCCAAGAGCCCCCAGGTCATGATGTTCCACAATCCAGTACCGAAGGCGCATCTGTTGGTACCCGTGTAACCGTCGCACCAAGGAGGGAGAGAACTTGAGTGTCTGTCATACGCTGTTGACTATTTTCCCCGTTATCAATTGTCCCGTTTGTTGTTGAGGCGTGTACAACGAACGTTGCCTGTGGCACCATGTAAACGTCCCTAACCACCTGCCCTCCAAACCTCGATTCGGTAACCCATTGAAGACGGTGGTCTTGGAGACACGGCAGTTTGGCCATGCATGTAATGTGTTTTGTGTTCCACATACAAATTGGTCGTACATGTTTGACACATGCATACTTCTAGGTAAATGGGTTGCGGTGGTCCATGGGAGGAAGGGGGCCCAGCATCCACCGTTCGGCCAATTTGTGATTTTGCTGCTAGTTCCAGAAGGCTAGGTGGTCGTGGTGGTGTATTTGTGGGACCAGTCAACTTGACCTTTTATCTTGCCTGCTTGCCTGCCTGCTTGCCTGTCTGCCTGCCGGGACTTGGACAATACGAAGGTTAAGACGGGTTATGACATCTCCTGGAGCCCTTGACTTGACTTCTCCTCTGAGACCCTTGTTGGCCGATTCGGATGGGGGCCGTCTGCTGTCTCAAGACCATCGCGTTCACCTTCCTGCTCTACTGCTTTGAGCAGTCGCGCCCTAATGCCTGGAAGTGTTTCAAGGACGTATATAGTATCTCGGTCGATGAGGTTCAAATCATCGTCGTGGTCAAGACCGCGGATGAGGAAACAGTCGTTCTGTTGGGTGAAATTATGAGTCACATTGCAGAGAGCGTAGGCGAAGACAGCAAGAACGAGGAAGACAGCATACCCAATCAGACCAGGCCTTGTCCAAGTTTTTACACACATTCGTGTCCTCCAGCTTGCGCCGATTGAATACGAGATTTCCACCTCGGTAATTCCACTTGTAATGTTCTGGCTGGTACCTTTTCCCTTGCTTCGTGTTCTCTTCTGATTTTTCACCTTCTTGGACAGCTGCTTGACAGCTGCACGGATGGCAAAGTCCAGAGGGTTCATATCCATCGAAACATTGTGCCTGCATATCGTCGGTCAGGTAGATGGTGTGCATGATATGAGTGAGGTTGGAGACCCTGTACTCCTGGTCTCTTCTTGACTCTGACATGCAGACGAGGTCCCAGGTTTGGCTTTGGGGGTCGAGATTCGTACTTTTCAGAAGTCCTGACACGACATTCTGGTCGGTGATGTCCCAAAAGTGATAATTGCCATAGGATGCAAAGAAGAACCACTCTTTAGGCTCTGGAATTGGAGCAGAGCATCTTAGAGCAAGGTAGGTTGTTAGGAGCTGCTCATGCTGAGGTGCTATGGTGAGCTAAAGAAAGCGACGAAAGTGAGACATGGCAGCATAACGGGGGTTCTCACCTCTCTGTACCCTGGATCGTTCTTCTCAGAAGGACCAAATTAGCATTGCCATCATATTGACCATGGAGATACTTTTCTGCCGGATGAGGGTTCCACAGTACATACCTCTAGAGAGCCTTGAATGTGTCTTCGCTGCAGAAACTCGTTGTCGGAATCCCACATATTTCTCGCAGGCGCTGCCACCTGTTGTGTCTTGCGTATCCAGTGCTTTTTGAACATTTCCAGACTTTCCAAGTACGCAAAGTCTCTTGCTGTGCCTGGCTCTTGATCAACACCCCAAAGGGTCTCCTCGCATAGCCACACACGACACAGAGTCCAAACGTCCCAAACATCTGCAGCATCAAAGACAGCGCGAAGGTCCCTCCCCAGCTCAGTTCGGCCATTTTTGGGTGATTCTGTACTCGATTCTTCTGAGGGTGTTGCACATGGAATGGCGGAGAAGGCTTCACTCCACCATTCTTCGTAGAAAGGATATTCGAACAGATCTCGTCGACCGTCCTCGTAAAACCCGGCCTTGGCTGCTGCAAAGTGTACGCCTGGCCAACGAAGGCAAGGACGGTATCTGTCTGTCACTTGGCGAGCCACCAGCCTCCACATCGGAATATCGTCCGGATGCGGAGCGACAGTAATGTCGGCCAACTCTCGACCGAGTTTCCATGGATCTTTCCTCATTCCTTCGAAGAAGTCCTCGTTCAGCTCGTCATGGATCAGCTGCTCCACTCTCCTCTCGCGTCTATCACCAGGGAACCTCTCATCATGGCGTACGCTGAGTTCTTCAGAAAGAGCATCAACTTGTCCAGTATCGGCGCTAATACATCCTGGATTGTTGTGGTCAACGAAACCAAGCAGGCGCACAAGGACATTGCGGAGAACCGCATCGGCCCATGACCACCTGAGAAACAAAAGACGGCTGACCTCATCAATTTCTTGTTCGTTGTCTTTGGACAGGTCAATGTAGGGGCTGGGAGTGAGGAGGACGGCCTGAACGAGGTAGCGGTCCAGGTCGGAGAGGCGCACAAAGACGGTGTGGGTGAAACGTTGGCGGATCTCGGAGAATGAGTCAAGACACGAGATCTCATGGTGGACGTTCTGGATGAGACTCGTAATTCTGGGCGTGGCCAGTTGGAGCTGTCGGTGGAGGGAGTCGGCGGTTGTCTTCATGTCTGAGTTCAGGAAGAAGGAAAGTACCTTGACAAAAGACTGACGTTGCAAGAGCGCGGTCAGAGTTCAGAAAAAGATGCTCCTTCCTACAACACCGTCAGGCCTCCCTTCCCAATTGGGCATCAATATGTCACTAAGCAAACGACGCCTAAATGATCCTTCTGTGTTACATACCTAAGTACCTAAGGACACAGGGCAGGCAGTTTGAAACACCGCGCAACTGTTTTAATTGGGTGAATGTACATTGGCGGCAGGCACAACTGAAATACAGACTGCTTTGTGTTTTCCTTCCAGCGAACCTCCTGTTTTCACCTCACACGCAACATTGCTCCAGCACGCTCATTGCCATATAAATGTATCTTCCCCTAAATAACTTGGCCGGCCTTGCTTGTTGACTATCCGCTGGCGTCAAGCCCCCAGACGATGATGCCAGTCGAATTCGATTATACATGACCAAGAGCTTTGCCAGGTTCGATGCAAGGATAAATTAGAAGAGTGATGTTCTCAATAATGTTATTACTGAGTATCTTGCAAGTAAGCGTCCGTCAGCTGCCAAGGGGGTGTGTAGAAAATGGCTATCTTGGCTCAATACCATGACAACATTTCAGCCCTGTGTGTGCTTTTGATTATGGGTTGGGTTTCTTTCTATTTTTTTCTTTTCTTTTTCATTATTTTCTTCTTCCAACTTTGCAAGCTTTCCTGGTGATACAAGGTTGCTTTTATCACAAAAAGATGGATTTGTGGAAGGGTTCGGCCGGGGTGAGAAAGGGGGATGTGGTTACTTTTAATTCACGAGGGGTTGGACGGCCGATGGTTTTGACAGAGAAGGGAAGTGGGAGCGGGCAATTTCAGGTGGCTGGACCCGTGTTCGTGTGTTGGTCGACGGGTTTGTATACTTGTACAGGGCGGGCCCTGAAGAGTTGTATGATCCGGCAAAGATGGGAGGACGTGGAGGGCTTGGAGAGTATCCTGAGTATGAATATCTGTTTTATCGCTGTGTCATGTATCTGCTCTAAATCTGTAGCAGTGTCAAACGCAAAATGCCCTGTGATTGTGATGCTTTGAACGGACGTATTTTCAACCGTGTCTGTGACCCTTTCCTGATTATTTGCTCCCAAATCATTCGAATTATGCCCTCCTACCCATCCCTTAGTCTCATTGTCCCAATCAAATTAAATAATCCTCATCCCTCCCACCCCCCTCACTCCGACACCTCCGCCGGCTGCCAAATCGCAGGACACAACGCCTCAATCCTCCTCGCATCCGCCACCCCAGCCGGTACACCCCCTATACTCCCTGCGCCCCCTGAACCCCATTCATCCCCCGTCGACTCAACCGACGCAGCGACCCCATAGGTCCTAATTAACCCCTCCTCTACACTCGAATATAGAGGCCATCCTCTCGCCTCTAGCCCGTCAGCCCCGTTAGCTGCAATAGCCACCCAATCATTCTGAATCGTACGGCTCGTGGCAACTTCCAGTTTTTTGTCCGGCGGCGGCGACTGGCTCGAAGTTTCGGGAAAGATATCGTAGGTGCCGAAGATAAGGGGGAGTTCGGCGCCGTGGTAGGCACCTAGGAAGGGGAGGGGCGAAACGTCGGTGAAGTTGCCAAAGTATTCGTAGCGGAAGACGGGGACGGAGGCTAGGAGGCGGTTACTGTGTGTGGTGAGAGGTTAGAGTAGGTTCTGGGCTGGGCTGGGTGATGGATACTGAGGTAAAGGGGTGAGAAATGATGTGCCATGGTTAGCTTACGTGGCCGCTTTGAAGGCTGGGCAAAAGAAGAGATCTAATGTCGCTTCGAAAACTTCGGTTTGGTTGACGGCAGTGCTGAGGATGACGAAGGCGAGGCCGTCCTGGGCGTTACTGCCGAGTATTGTAGGCTGAAACAAGTCCAGTTCTTAGTCTCTTATCCATCGTCTATTTACTTGTCTGGAAACATGATCTTTCAACAGGGAGGTAACAACTTACAACATTGGCAACCTCCCCTGCCAACGACTTGGCCGTATAATCCGGGAATACCGTTCTATTATTCACCACCGGCGTAAAAAAGACGTACTTGGTGATGTCCGTCCCCGCCGCCTCATTGGTAGTCTGCACAGCCTTGTTGATGGCTTCTGCCGTGACACTGTCAGAGCGCATACACGCCAGCTCCTCTGCCGCCGTGAGGTTGCCGCAACCCAACTGGCCAGCGATACGAGTGAAACCAAAATGGGCAAAGTCGAGGTTTTGAGCCACCGGTGTCAGCTCGCTGCCGGAGTCCATGATGACCGCGTTCACGATTGGGTCCGTAGGGTAGGCGTATTGGAAGTAACCCGCGGACACGGCACCGGCACTTTGGCCCCAAAGGGTGATGCGTGTCGGGTCACCGCCAAAGGCCTCGATGTTGTCTTGGACCCATTCCACGGCGAGTCTTTGGTCGAGGAGGCCGACATTTTGCTCGTCCAGGGGAATGCCCAGGGCATTGGGGAAGCCAAAGATGTTGAGGCGATAGTTGAAGGTGACGACGATGTGGCTTTTGGTGCGCTGTACCCAGTCCGTGGGGATCTGGACGGGGACGTCTTGACCTCCTGTGCTAAAGGCGCCGCCGTAGACGAAGACGATGACGGGGAGACTGTCGTCGGTGGTAGTTGGTGAGGCCCAGATGCTGAGTGTTAAGCAGTCCTCGCTGATATCAGGGCTGGTGGTATTGAGACCCTGGACGTTGAATTCGTTCAGGTACTGAGTATAGATGGAGGGCGGGCTTGTGGAAAGGTATTGGATGCAGCTTGGGGGAAGCTTCTTGGCATCGAGTTCACCAAACGGCTCAGCAGGCTGTGGCGGGGCAAAGCGAAGGTCTCCTACAGGGGGTTGAGCAAAAGGGATACCCAGAAACTGGCGTACACACGGATCTTCGGTCTCGTTGACGATTCCGTGAACTACGCCTCCCAGGACTGTCACTGATAGGTCAGACTGGTCCACGCAAGGAGCCAACGACGCTATCGCAGGTGCCACTCCTCCTCGAAAACCAAGGCCCAATATGGAGGCTAACCAGACGTAGGATAAGCAAGCCACTCTCATGATTCCTGGATCGCAGTTTGACGTGGCATAAAAGTGCGGTGTCGATGAGGTGAAATGAGTAAATGTGGTGTTGGCAAAGAGGCCAGAACCAAACTCCTGTAGAACAGGCATACTGGCGAAGTCTGACATTTTATCATCAGCTTCACTGCTTCCCTCTTACTCCTTGCTCGAGCCGCGTCATGCGAGTACGTACATCGTGAGATCCAAGGCCAAAGGGAGCCATACGGGTAGCGTGAGGCAGTTTCGGACTGCAAGCTGAAGAGTAGCGGCCACATGTTAGGGAGGGGTGCTCACTTGTTTCCCACAAATAACTTGATGATGCCAGCACCGTCCTTGTTGTCAAGCGTCGGCGATCCCCAAACTGCGTCAACTTCCAAGATCAGACACTTCTTGACGCCTCTACGCAGGCGGACAACAGGAATACGAATACGGTTCTGGCCAAGGAAGGCCAACTTCTCGGTTTCTTGTCGAAGTGTTGGTGTGGTGCGCGGAGTATGACTGTTGCAGGGAAGCCTCCATAACAGGGCCAAGGTTTTGAGTGGCATCCTGGCCATTCTTGTATAGATATCTATTGCTGCCCACGGTCCCACATCAAGTCGACATCATCGCTGAAGGTCCAAGAGTGTAAACATGAACGTAAACAAGCAGCATTACTAGTAGAGAAATCCCCGAACACCGAGCAAGCGGGTAAGTAGGGACCTTGGACATCTCAATCGGGAACAAGGGTAAGTGCCTCGCTTGCTGTCGGCTTTCAGAGCCGGAAACAGTAAAGTGCCCATTGGTGGCCCCAACTCCTTCTTTTGGTGTTTTAACACATCACAATTAGTTGGGTTGGCGTAACTACCCGATGCGGGGAACAGTCGATGATGGAGGTTTTTGTCAGTGTCTTGTCTCGTTCTTGTTGTGGGGACATGTCCTCCAACTGCGCGACTCCAACTCTCTCGGGCGAAAAGAAACAAGCAGTGGTGACGCATGGCCAGCCGAGGTACTGCACCACTGCATACCTTGCATGCTCGAAGTGCTTCGTATCGACGCAGAATACGCAGAGCTCCCGTTTTGGTGCGGTCAGAACCACATAAATCTAGGTTTCCCATCCCAGCCTAGAGGTTACTCTGATTTCCAGTGCGCAAATTCGGTCTCAAGATGCCTCTTGAGCTCGGCAAATTTGTTGCCGAATTCCTGTCCACAGCGCCAACAAATAAATCCCTTGGCCAGGTTTCCATTCTGGAAGGATGTATTGCGTCGTTCGTCATCCTCGGCGAGCGGGCAATCCTCGAGAGGAATGAAAAAGGGCGTGTTGAAGCTGTTGTAGTGTTTCCGATGCTTGAGCTTGTCTGAATGCATGTCGCGCGATATGATGTGCACGTGAAGATGGTCCATGGAAGGATGAGCATGCACGCCGATACGGATGTCTGACAGGTAATCCCGGCATTGCGGAAGTTGGTCGAAAGGAACGCCTTTGTCCATGGCTTCATTGCGTGCTTTGCTCGAGACAGAAAAGCTTGATATATTGCGTTGGAGCTCGGCAGCAGCGAGGCGGGCGGCGCTGGCAGCTTCGTCTCGCATCATGGCAAGGAAGTCCTTATCTTGGAAAGCTTGTAGCGGATGCAGATCGTAATGTTCAGGGGACCGAGGAATGAGCAGAAGATGGACGGTGGCCTTGGGGAAGCCGTCACGGATTAGCACCGTCTTGTCCGTCACGCGGATAACCTGCTGGGGGAAGCGGTCGGGATGGTCTATATACTCCAGCAAGGCACCGCTCCATTTTGACCTTGTTGTTGTTTTACCTCCCGAATTCTTGGTTCTCTTGTGCGTAGGGGAAGGAACGCCGGCTGGTGACCGACTCGAGGAAGCGTCTGGCCTGGCTGCCTTGGGCTTAGGCGCCATCAGCTCAGCAAAGGCATTGCGCTTTTTGCTTTGAGGTCCGGAGGATATTTCATGCAGGTGACTGCTCGGTGCAGTCGAGAATTTGGCAAAGTCCTGTGGGTCTTCGGCAGCTTCGGCCATGATGCGCTTGCAGACGGCAGGATTTTTGTCTCCCCTCCTTGATTGAAATGGGTGGTAAACTGGATGACACGGAATTGCCAACGGGGAGCGAGCTTGATGTGCGCCGGTGTACGTCAGTGGCAATGGCCTGGAGTAGATAAAGAGACGGACAGCTATGGTTTCTCCTTGTGAGACAATGAAAAGGAAGATGGGCTTCTTCAATACCACGCATGTAGATGGGTCGGGATGACTAAGTACCGTCAAGGTTGGTGATGCTCGTGGCAAACCTCATAAAGTGGAAGTTGATGGAGGTTGGTCGACGAGTCGACGTTGGAATTGGCGGCGTGCTGGGAACGTCCTTTTTTTCGGCAACGATTGAGCGGACAGGAATCCGATATTTGTGACTGGTCAATCGCTTCATTATAGTGGGGCCTTTTCCAGCGTCTACCTGGTGCAAGATCCACCGGCACCTGGCAGCTTCTTTCTGGTGTAAGTGTTAGTGCAGCTCTGCCGGACGCTCTATGAAGGAACCCCTGAGCTACTAACAGGATGAGGAATAGGAAGGTAAACACGACTTGGGCAACGGAAGACATCTATGCAGTGGATGATTGAACCTTTTCAAGCCGTGCAGAGGATCTAGACAGTTTGATGTCTCATCCTATCACATGCATGAATACCATCCATGGTGGACAGCGTCAATGGTTCATCAAGAGCATCGAACCATGTGTTCTCGTTCAGCGCCTGTTAGTCAAGAGGCCTACTCATGATAGTGACGAGGTCAAGGATGACTATCCCAAATACGAGCAACTATCTAGCATAAGAACATGCTCATACTCTAGGCTTTTTCTTGTTCCTGTCCCCGAAGGAGTGGACATCTGCATGCGGCGACGTTATCAAAAACACCTTGAACGGAACACTACCACAGGATTTGAGACAACTCTATGGCAATTTGGAAGAAAGATGAAGTCTACCGAACGTAGTCTTGGTATTGTGTCTCCGCAGAACAGCCTTTTCATTGAATCTCCGGAGGACAATGATGCTAGTGCCTCCACCGAAAGCAGTCTTGTCATTATCGAAGACTACTTTGACCGACCGCTCCCTTTGAGACCAGGGGAGTACTGTGGCAGCCATGAGTGGGAGATACTCAACTTATCCAGCAAGGATGCAACAACAAGCCAGCTAGTCGCTGCGCTGGACATTGTCACAGACATACTCGATAAGGAAAACATCCCTTACGCTGTCATGGGAGGTTTCTCTCTCCAACTTCGGGGAATGCAGGGTGTTCGTCAGAATGTTGACTTGGCAGTCCCGTTATCCTTGCTCAACACTGACGAGAGCGCATGGCTCACCGTCTTCAAGGACGAGCTGAGGTAGGCATCAGCTACCCCTTTTCATCTCATCTTTGCTGCCAAGGCTGGTTGATAAGTCATCGGTTCGGACCAGGTTCTCAACAATTCAGTGGGCTCGTGGTCGAGCGGCGTGGTGGACGCATCACACCTCTCAACCCGACCGTAGGGGCTGTCAGACGTCCCCCCGCCCGGGCAATGCCTGGGTTCTGGGGAGTTGCCACCTGTCACGAGCGGGTGAACTGCCTTCTAGTACCATGTGGACTAGGACATGGTACTAGGAGGCTCGTCTGACAGCTAGTGTTACAGCTGGCGTCTTCCGGCTACGCAAATAAGGCTCTACTACTCCTTTCCAGTTGTCTCACGTCCTACGTTCGATTCACGCCCACTCCTCTTTTTTTCCCTTTTTTCTTCTTAAATTTTTTTTTTTTTTTTTTTTTTTCTTGATTTGGGTTTGCCGCTCACTGCTTCCTGACAGGATCCTTCGGCCATCGGTGTTTCTGTCAGGTGTCAAAGATATGACACGCAAGACCCTTTTTGTGCAAGTCGGTGATCTCTATAACGACGACAACGCTGCGCATTGGGTACGAGTCGATCTCCGGTTTGTCGGCCATGAGCACTCACCCGACACGAACCTTGATCAAAGCCTTCTGCCAGTACTCGAGAAGTTTGAACAGGAAAGGGATCTCGTTTCCTCGCCCCTCTCATCCGAGAAGCAGTACAACTGCCTGAAGCTTGGATACCTCTTGCATGACAAGCTTTGCATGATCAAGAACTCTTCCACCGAGCGAGAGCTTGCCGATGTGATATACATCCTCTCTGGACACCTGGCAGAAGTGGGTGATGTTAGGTGGATTGACATTGGGCTCCGAACAAACTTCTTGGACTGTTATGATGCCTTGTCGCCGAATGACCTCATGACAGATTACTTTGCAAGAGCATTGTGGTTGGAAGGGGATTACCTTTGGGATAGATGGACCACCATACAGAAGCGCGAGAAGAGCAAGCCGGTGCCTGAGAACAAGGAATGGTTTTGGACGCGGTTCTTCTGTCGATGGTCAACACCAGCGCCAAGGTAACCGTACCGAGACGTGGTGCCACAGGTAAGAAGCCATTGCTGGGCATCAACGTTGTCTCGAGGAAAGTAAAATAAAGGCTGGCCAAGGAAAGATAGGGGTATCCAGGAAAAGAAATTTCATGGAAGGTATACACAATGCAACTTAAAACCATTGGCATTACTCCGTGGAGCTCTAAACAAATTCTCAATGCGTTCCCCCTCGTGCTTTTTGTGCCTTTGGTGTCTTTTCTTATACACCCATGGACCGAAGTCAAGTTTCTTGACCAGGAGCAGTCATACTGATGTCCCGGCGATTGTTTATGAAGTCTTGATGAGGATTCTACAAATGCTTCCGCCCTAGTCAACCTTACGGCAAAATCGCTACATTGTCATATGACCTGGGTAAACAATCTCCGTCATGCATGATGCAGCTCATGTCGTTGGGTAGAGGTACTGCTAATTCAGGTACAGGAAATACTCATCGAGTCGCTACTATCAAGCCCTTTGTCTGTGCGGCAATGCATCTCGGCAGCCAATATCCGAACCCATTTTCATTTTCCAACAGTCACTTCAAACCATTTCCATCAGCCTTGCATGTAACACTCGAAATATCACAACACATCAAGGAAGGTCATCCTGATCACACCGAATGTCCGCGGCGATGATCCAACTTACAACTAACTACCAAAGATACACTTTGTTGATTATCGATCCTTGGCCCTTTCTCCCGAGCGCCCCGCTCCAGCGTGTCCCCTCCATCGCCTTCCAATCTCGAAGCCGCCTTGAACCCCGACGAGACGGCATATCTATATGGGGAGGAAAGGACGAGGGAAATTTGGTTGTCTTGCCGGTGAAAAAGAAAGCCATGAAGTGAACACAGCCGGGTCGGAAATTGAAGCCCTGGTTTGCAGCGGAAGCCAGATCCAAGGACGACGGATAAACTACACCCCATGCTTCAGTGACCACTCATAACACAAGAGAAACTCCAGGCAATGTTTCCATTTTGAACCACCATCGGCGGTACTATCAGTAGCGAAACGGATACATGGAATGGACTACTATGATACAAGTACCGACGATGTCGAGACGGGCCATGGTTCAATGAAACCACTACCGAGCGTTCTTTCCAGTTTCCAGAATCTACGTCTGCTCAGCCGTCGCCTGCACCTTCCGCCTCCTTCCCCCGTTTATTCAGCGATTTCGGTCAACCTATGTCTTCAGTTATGTCATCCCCCAACGTGCTTACCTCTAAGTACATGTATTCCGTCGGACGCTACCCAGAGGCACGGTACCTTCACAGTGAGGAAGGAACAGACGGCCATCCAAGGAACGTTGATTCTCCTATCGTGGCAAAGCAAATGCAGGCTAGAATTGAAGAATGCAATTGGACAAAGCTACGCCAATATCGGTCAAACTTAAGTCGGGCATACAGCGGACGGAATGCCAAAGAACTCCAATTCTGACATCAACAAGTGTTCGATGCATGGCACTAGGGAACATCGCCGCGAGAGCCATGAGCCGGTGGGATTGGACCTTGTAGGAGTGGGATAGGTAGCTCTTTGTCCTTCGAACCCACACCAGGACGTGGCATGATCTCCTCGATTGAGCATACCCACCCGGGCAGTCCTGGCGCTGTGGAATAATCCACTTTCCCTTCCCATCATCAACTGTGCCCTCGATGCGGAGGAACACAGCCGATTCTTAGAATCCGGATGTTTCTGGTAAACCAAGCAACCCTATACCCATGCTTTGAACCATTATTCGTCCCCGTTCCTGTTACTAGCATCGGGGACGAGATGCCCGAGATAGGGATTGTCCAGTTTCGTCCCTAGTGCGCAACTACCTCTCTAACAGTTCAAACCCCTTCCTGTGCTCAGAGCTGCGTCCTAGTGTCATTAAGTGCCTCAATTTTCCATATCCCGATAATCCCACGCAACTGATTGGAAGTCCCTCGCGCAGCCGGGAGTATGTTCCGTTGACACCAGCAACACATGAGAAGCCTGTTCGAGACTCGGTGTTCCAGTCGGACTCACCTCAACTGCGGTTTCCGGGGTCAATTCACATGCCATCATGGTCATTTTCTGCTGGCCCTCCGCCCCCTCTTTCTCTCTCTGTCTCTCTGTCTCTCCTTCTCTCCTTTCTTCTTCTTTTCTTTTTCTTTTCTTTCTTTCTTTCTTTTTCTCCCTACATTGGACGTGCTTTTGGCTACGGATCTCACCATGCCCAAACACTCCATTCTCAATACCATACATAGCATTACAGCTTAATCTGCACTTTTGATACAATGGGATGTACGTTCAAATTCACAATTTCGGACTTCTTCACACTTAATAGTCCACCAGAATTGCCAAACAAAGAAGACATGACACGTTACGGATGGCATGATGCCATGATTTAGTTATCTTGATTTACGTTTCCACTACCATTCTGGTAGATACAAGTATAGGAAGGTATACTCAAATGTCCGTTCCGCCTCCAACTCTCTACCTGCATCCATGAACGTTGGTAAACCGGCCACAATATTCCGATAATTCTCGAAGCCCGGCACTCACAGATATATCACAACAGTTGTCTGCATCACTGCTGCGTATTCGTATGTCTGTCATCTAGAAGAACTCCCATTGTTGCAGACGAAGTTGCGTCCTGGCTTCCCGCCACATAGACAGACCAACCATCTGTTTATGTATGTTCATCGAGATATCCTAGGCCCGGATCTCCGGGGCGGACATACAATTTTTCCCTCCATTTTATGATGATCTCTAATATCGGTAGCGCTACCGCCAGTGCATCTAGCATATGTAATTAACATTTTTTTGTACTTTGGACTCCAAAAAGTGCTTACAAAAACGCATACGAGCCCTGATTCGGCTTCACCTCATGCCATCATGTTTTTGTACTTGGGTCAAAAAGGAGGTGTTATTTCGACGGGCATGAAAGCTATAGTCATGCATCAGGAACTCCGGAATATATATACACATATTTGACCCGAAGATGCACTTATTATTGACAACCTGCGTCAAGAAGAGAACTCTTGAAGTATGGCCCAGGAAATTCCCAATTCCAGGGACCGATAGAAATAATACTTAATCCCCCAGTCCTCTGTCCTCTCCTATTATCATTCTTCTTCTACCTCAAGAAACATCAGGCAACAACCATACCTACCCTTAAGCCAACAGATCGTCCAAGCTGAACCAAGCCTGAGTACTGCACCCTCCAATATCCGTCTCATAGCCAGTCCATTTTTGACTCTAGCTAACTTTATCCATCAAAAAGGCTTCGTCTTCATTACACCCAAGCGAAGAAAACCCAACAACATTACCGACACCAGAACCTTCAGTCCACCATCAAGCCTCCTCCATCCACGCCCAAGTCACGATGGATTCAGATTCATTCTTCCTCGATTTGCTCTTCGTCGCCATAACCCCGGCGGCTATAGTGGTGGTGATGATCCTTAGCTGCCTCATCATGTTCATCGTCTTTGGAGGTATAGGCATGATTGGGTATGGGATCGTCTCCATCTTTTCCAGCGTGCGTGAATACGTGCGTGGGCGCGGGGTGGTGGCGGCTGGCGGCGGCAACGACTACGAACTCATTGACGCCCTCGACTGGCGTTCGGCGATCAACTCGGTAGAAAACATGGAGGAGCAGCACCAGCAGCACCAGCAGCACTTGCAACAGCAGGAGGAGAATGATGAGGATATGGCGGAACGGAAGCGCAGAAGTAACGTGCCGACCCCGTCTTCGTCACGAGCGTCCATTTGTACTCTTTCTCTCGCCTGATTCTTCTTTCCTCTGGTTATTCTTCTCCCCGTCAGTCTCATCATTCTCTTGTCCGCTTTCATCTTCATGCCTTGGGTGTGGGAGGGGTGAGACGGGTGGTACATGCCGAAGGCGGAGGACTGGGGATTTTGCAAACCTCCCACAATCTAGCAGACCGACCTGCTGGTGGTGGTGGGTCTGCTGAGTTACCTACTTGACCGGATTTGGGAAATGGAAAACAACAATGAGGCTAGGATGGCAATTGCGGCGGAGGGAAAGGAAGACGGATTACCGGCATTCAAAGAGAGGGCAAGGCAATACATGCGAGGGACTGTGCGGTTGGTTGTATCATGAGTCTCAGATCGAATGTTTCTTTGTGTAGGAAGGAGTGGAAACTGAACTGGAACATCATCGTTCTTCCTCGACCCGGGAAAGATGATGGATTGGATAGATCAGGAACAAAATTGATCACCTCACACAATCCAATCGTTCGTGAAGTTATTCCCAATCCATACATAATTGTTGTTGGGACGACAGCGTCAACCAAATGAATGTGGGGAGGGATTGAGGCAGTGGCCAGCCAAAAGGATAGGTGACTGCTACGGGGTATGACATCCATCTTCAGATGAGGAAAGCGAAGGTGCTTAACGCGGAAGTAACCAATGTATTTACCCCATAAGCTTAGTCCCGAACTCTGGCCTCCGAAACTCAGGACAGGGAAACCGGGACGTGTCCGGACGTGTCCCCATTAACCGCGTCCCAAATTCGGGGATGAACAAAAACGGGACAGCGACAGGAGGGCCGTATTAAGTAATACATGGCGACTCCTTTTCTAGAATGTGAACAAAGGATATCGCTAAAGACGCTCCTGGTGCTCGTCGTACTTGATGTGTTTCTTGTTGTTTCCATTTCCCTGAGGCTGGTCGGTATCGAGTGGAGGTAAGCGGCATTATTTGTAACATAGCATGCCACAATGTTCAGATTGGATGTTTTCTTGTACAGGGGAAGAATACAACTTGATACCCTTCTTCTTCTTCTTTTGAATAGAAAAGAGAATGCGTCGAAAAGCTCGGGCAGGAATTATGGCCTCGTGACTATGAGGAGGACCAGGATGAACAGAAGCAGCATAGCTTGCGTATTGTGAATTATCAGGAATTCTTCCATGTCAGCTGACCATACAATTCATACTGGTATCAGGTAGTTGAATGTCATGCCCCCATCAGCCTCGCATCTTCAGCCTCGTCATCATCAGACTCCTCTTCCGATGAACTCTCTTCCTCTTCTTCTTCATCGTCTTCCTCCTCCTCCTCCTCTTCTTCTTCATCTTCTTCTTCCTCAGTGGTTTCCTCTTCCTCATCCTCCTCTTCACTCTCCTCCACAACCTGCCGTTGCACAGGTGCTGACACTGGCACCGCCTTCTTACTGATATCCTCCTCCTCCGCAAGCCAATCATCAAGTGTCTTGGTGCCTACTCCCTCACCCAGACCATTAGCCTTCGTAGGCACTGATCTAGACGACCCACCGTCCAAAATCTCCAAAGCTGGTACGACTCTCTTCTCGCCGTACGTCGTGGTTGGTGGCACACCTGTCTCTCTCAGTCTCGGATCCGGCTGCTTGCCCTCCTCGACCCAATCGGGCAAGTCCTCGTAGCCCCTTACGCCGTGAACACCGGCGGCATCGGCGAGGACCAGGGCTGAAGAGCCAAGGGTATACCCACGCCTCATCTCCGAGGGACTTTGCGCTTGGGGTGCAGGCTTAGGCGCGAGCAGCATGAGGGTTGCGAGCTGGGGTACGCCGAGCAAGGCTTTGTAGAGACGAGTGCGATCACGGAGATCATAAGAGGTATCGTAGCGAGCCAGGAGGAGCACATAACTCCATAGCTTTGCAATTGGATGGTCATCGTCTTCGAGAAGCTTGGGTGGAGGACCCGGTTCGCCATCGGCATTTTGTGATGCTTCAATCTGTCGGTTGAGGTAGTGTAGGTAGACTTTGGCGCCAAGAAGGATGATTTGTCGTTTGGCGATTTCGGACTCGGAGGGAAAGTCCTTGAGCAGGATCCGAAGCACATCAGGGGCGATGTTCTCTTCTCCGTTGAGACCAGAGAACTCGCCTACTAGCCAGATAATGGTGGCACGAGCGTGTGGGTCGGTGGCCGAGTCCAAGTTCTTTGCCAGCCTTACGACCGTAGCGACGTGTGCAGTCGGGTCCTGCTGGATTAGATGTCGTATCACTGTCAAGCTCTCTGCGGCCAGCGTGCCGTCCAAGCTAGTGATTTGACTGAGAAGCAACCGCAGACACCTAGGTGCAGCTGCTGTGTCTGTTACCGCGCAGCGGCCAATAGCCCTAACTGCCTCCCTAACCAGCGCCTTATCGGTTCCTCGGCTGAAGTGCTCAAGCTCGTTGAGAATAAGGCTCTTGACATGCAGAGGAGTATGTGGAAAGATGAGAGTCAAAAGCTCCAGCTTAAGTTCCCATATGGGTTGTGTATCCGTTGCACGCACTAGGAAATGCGAGGCATAGCGCACGAAATCGGCAGGCCGGGTAAGGCAAATGGATACGATGTTGTAGAGTGCAACCTGTTGGATATCCTGAGCGCCTCGTAGCAAGGCTATCAATGGCCCAATGGCTGTCTTGACATACTCCGGCGTGCCTACCGCATCGTAACAGCGTGCTACCGAAACCACAACGCCTGAGTTTCGTGATTGGAGGAGGGGTTTAATGCTGTTGAGGAGCAGCTCAAGATCAGGGTCGAGAACAATCACCTCCTGGCCCTCGGCGTCATCATTCGAGTTGGCGGCGGCGTTATCACCGTAAAAGTCTTGAAGATCGACCGCCTTGTCCTGGGCTTTCACAATTCGGGTTCGTCGAGGGAAGCATTTTCGCGCATAAACCGTCATAAGTCGCAGTGTCGAGAGCTGGCTCCATTCGTCCATATCCACCACCATCTTGACCAACTGCCTGTAATGCTTGTGTATCAAGTCCAGTCTGTCCGGGCAGATCTCCAGAAAGGCTGTAACGGCGGCACCTGCCACATAATACTGCTTGTCGCCTAAGAGAGTCGAGAGATATTCGAGCAGTGAGGGCATTTGGGATGGGTCGAGTCGGTAACACTTGGGGATTGCCAAGGCAGCGGCTCGGCGCACATAGGGGTTGATGTCTCCGGCGCCCTTCTTGATGGCCAACGACACAATCTGGCTGATGACGGGAACCCGTATGTTGGACATTGTTCGTAGAGCCAAGGCGCGCACTTGGGGGTTGGAATCGGAAAGCGACTTCTGGATGGTGTTGATGGAGAGCAAGGCAAGGTCGGGGTCCTCCTCGGCATGGTGGATCAGGTAGATGTAGACCAGTTTCTTGATCTCGATATTCGGGGAGGCGACGTTCTTGACGACGGAGGAGAACAGAGGGTGTGTCCTTTGCGAGCGGTACATCATCTAGGCGAGCTGTTAGCACTTGCTCCCATGGCCACCAAAGCATATGTATGGGGTGGAAAACATACCGAGATGACCCGACGCAGACCGTCCAGCACTTCTCGTTCATTGCGACTGTCGAGGAGTTTCTTAACCTGAACGCGATCGAGAGGCTTGGACGAGCTGCGGGCGCTGCGGGCGGCCGAGGCGGCATCGAGGGTGAGCTCTCGGGCTGGAATAGAGACAAGACAGGCGCCGTGGTCAGCAGGAGGACACGGCGATAACCTGAAGAGGGAGTTAAGCTTACCACTTTCTAGCAGCGACGAAATCCTGGCTATCGATTCCATGTTGGGTCAGTGACTGTTATCCAGCGCACTGGGCTCGCTGTTTCGGGGAGCGCGCTTGAGTGTTGCGATGATCAGTTGGAATGGACAAAGTTAGGATCCCGGTGCCGCGCTGAGCGCCCAGCAGTGGTGACGGGAGCTCCTGTGACGTGATGCACGGACGGCCTGGAGCTGTGGTGGATTGGGGAATAGTGGGGAATTCGTAGCAGGCCTACCTCGCAGCTATGTACACTACCGGGCTACCTTGCTGACCACCAAATTTCTCACCTACCCTCCACTTATACATGAACACAATCACGAGCGGGACATCCATTATCTACCTCTACAGCCTTACAGCACAATGCAATCCAAAGTGGAACAATACCTGACAGACTCACAATTCATGAACCCAGGCTTCCGATACGGCGACGATGTCACTCAACCTCTGTTAAGCCAGCTAAAAACTCTCGACCGACGAGGTCATCGAGGATTTCCGGATGTTGAACTCAGATGCTCAATTCAATTTTATGTTCAAAACCTGTCCATGGCTTGACGATTCTGATAGACATTTTTTCTTGCCGTAGAAGATGTTTGATCCGCCCCTTTCCATATTTGACAGCACCCAAGAGATCTTCACTCTCCATTGCAGTGTTTTTCTCCGGTAATAAGACAGAATAACGGGAGCTTTCAAGTGGTGTCTTTCACGTCGAGCTGACAGGTGGTTTAGAGTGCTCGAGCTGCTTTGATTATTTAGTCGTTATGCAGGATCCAAGCATATGCATATAGGAGTGTATTCTTTCCAATCGAATCTCCCCAGGTTTTAGCTTCTGCCGTCCGCGGGAGGACCCCTATCATCCCGGGTCCGAACAAACACCTTGACCATATGGATCGGGACGGCCACCACCGCGATACAAGTGGAACTCAGCCCTACCCGAGACCCGCGATGTGATACCTTAAAGTTGGAAACAAACCTCACAAGTGGAACGCCTTCTGCAGCGTGCATGTGAGACGACAGCGAATGCGTTTTCATTCCTCGAATACCAAAACCTCAAACGGAGCTCACTCCTACCACACGGATGTACTTGCTGGTTGCGCAACCGCAAGCCGTGGCCAACGTTTTTTTCCTGTCGTGAAAGCTACCAAGCAACCAATGTGATGGACTCTTTTCGGTCTCAGTCTCAATTTCAGCCTCTCTTCTGCTCCCCGGCACTTCCCTCTGAGCTGCTCTGGTACATCATCCACCATTGCACTCATCCCACCACCTTGATCGTCTGCTCCAGCCGGGTCGATTTTCTCACGGCTTTGGCTAGGGATATTAGGCAAAGCCAAGAAGAAGATGAGAAGTCACAAGATCAAGAGCAAGAAGAGCGGCGAAATTCACCTCAACCAGACCAAGACAAGGTACCGACAGATACAAAAAAAGACCAAAAGGAAGCCCACGCGTCGCAACAACTCCTGTGGCCCAGTCATCAACAACAACCGGCAGCAACAGCTCAGTCAACACAAGACGAACCCACCAAAACGACAAGCACCACCCCGGCCAAGATCACCCCGGGCCCCTGGGCCTCCCAACTCCTCGCCTCCCCCCTCTACCAAGTCGCCGTAGCACGACACATCCGCATAGTCTTCATCCCCACCGTGTCCCACCTGCGCGCCTTTCTCTCTGTCTTTGATACCAATAATAACAGTACCAACACCAACAAGGTTCCCACTTCTCCTCCTCCTCATCCGTCAACTTATGACCCCTTACCAAACCAGCAAAAACATCCACAATCTCAACGACTATTATTAGTCTACGGCTTTCTAGCCTCACATCGTGATTCAAGCGAGTGGAGTGTGCAAGGGCTGAACACCACGGCTGCTGTATTGCTGGAGACGGGAAGGAGAGTTGGGTTGGGGGTTATGGTTGTTGAGCCTGTTGAGTATGATGAGAGTCTGAGGAGCCTGGATGATTTGCTTAGGGAGAAGATGCCAGTTGTGAGCGGGAGTGCTTTGAGAGGCGCAGGAGGGGATCTTGAGAGAAGTGTTGGTGGTGGGTTGATTGGGAGGACGGTGGATGTTAGGAGGGTATTGGGTCGATGGTTCCAGTTTGGGGTTGGGAAGTGGGAGAGGGAAAGGCAAAGAGATCGTTTGTGCAGTTGAGGATGGATGATCATTGCAGGAAAGGGAATATGAGGGTCGTATAGTGTTCAGTACACAGAGCACGGCAGAAAGGAGTTTGTAATCATAAGAGTTCGTGGTCTCATTCAGTGTAACAACTTTGATGCCTTCTAAAAGGGTATGAAAGGCGAAGATAACCACATCCAACCTTACCAGCCTGCTGGGAATTAAACCGAAACGCCACTCCATGGTATCCATGCATGCTCCAAAACCTCTTATGCCAAACGAAACCTCGATGCTTTGCCCGTGAACCAATGCGGTGCAATACACTGTACGTTAAAGAAGAACAAGTGTGCGGACAAAAAGGTATAAAACATATCCACCAACAAACGCTCGCTCAGATGGCCTGCTCCATCTCGGTAATGTACAGCTTGATGTGTGCCTCCATCTTGAGGTACTCGTCGTGGGCAGCGTGGACTTCGTTTTCAATGTTCTCTTTCAAGTCGAGCATCTAGTTGAGGGCACAACTGGTTAGCATCTCTCCTCATTCCTTTTCTTTCAGTCAAGCTTAAACGTACCTTCTTCTCCGTCTGCTCGATTCTCACCCTCCTCCTCTCAATATCCTTGCTCTTCTCCGACCTCTCCTCGGTCAACTTCCTATGCACCGCCCTCAACTCCTCCATCTTCTCCATGGCCTTTTGCGCCTTCTCCTCGCTCTGCGTTCGCAACTGCGCCGTGCGATCAACCCACTTGGCCAATTGCCTCTTGAGCAGCGCCTCGGTACGCTCCACCTCTCTAACATTGTGTCCCCGCTCCGTGAGCGCGTCCCTCTGCCTTGCGTTCTTAACGTTCTCCTCTTCTTCCTTGGCCAGCTCGATCGCGATCTCTTCTAACAGCTTGATGCATGATGCTACATCCGATGCCACCACGCTGAACGAGTCCGTTGACGTCTGGAGAGCTCTTGACCGCCTGTCTAGCGCATCAATGTGTGCCTTGTCGTTGTTCAACGTGTTGCTCAGCTCCGCCAGACTAGCCTGCAGCGCTGACGGGCTCTGGAGCACATAAGGCCGGAGTTTCGCACTCTCCTGCTTGAGCGCAATTTTGGTAGCCGTCTTTTCCTCCAACTCTGCCGCCAACTCGCCCTTCTTGGTCTTGGCCTCCTCCAACCTCGCGGCCACCTTCTCCTGGCTTCGCCTGAGCTCCAGCAGCCGCTTCTTGAGCTCCTCATTGCGCACCGTCTTCTCCTGAACCAGCACTTCCATCGCCCTGCGATTGTGTCTCATCTCCTCCAACTGCGCCTCCATATTCTGGTTCTCGACATACAGCTGCTCGATGCGCGCCTTTGTCTGCTCAGCCTTGTTGCAATGCTCATCAATGACGCTTGTCTGGCTCTCACGGAACCTGACAAAGTTGATGACATAACTCAACATCCTAACCAACCGGTCATGCGTCGGTTTGTAGAGGTCATTGAAGCTGAAATCATTCACTCCGCAATCCAGCATCAGCCTGCGTAGCGACACGTAAAACCCCAGCAGATTTCGCGTATCCGAAGGCATCATGGCCTCACCCAGTTCGGGCCCGCAAACATCCTCAGCGGCCGCGCGCATCGCCGGGTCGACCGTCTGACGCGTCTTGTTCATCAGCAGCTCACCGAACCACTCGAAGATCATCTGCACCTGGATCGGGTTGGGCTTCTGCAGGTCGGCCAGCGTGAAGGGGATGCCGAGCTCGTTGATGCAGCCGACGATTTCGCGGTCGGGCAGGCGCATGTTGGCATAGGCGGCTTCTTCTTCCTTTTTACGCTGCCGCGATTGTTGCGGCTGCGGAGGCAGGATGGACATTCGTGGGTTGAAGGCCATGTTTGGCTGTGGTGTGGTGTGCTGGGGCACCAACGGACTCGGATGGGTTCGTGGTTCGTGGTTCGCTCGATGATTTCGCGGGTTTCCTTTGTCGTCGTGACTGTCGCGTAAGAATGTTGTAGAGGGTTGTTCGAAGAAGGGTGGTTCGTTGGCGCGTGTCCAGACGCGTTGATCTCTGTCGCAACTTTTGGATGGACCATTGGTGTTGATTGAACCCCATGTCATGGTGGGGGTGGTTGCTCCGGAGACGCTACTGTGCGGCACTTACCGTCTAATTGCATATCGGTCTTATAGCGGTAACCCCGCAACACTCCGACACTTGGTCACGATGATCGTCTCTTTGGCATCCCTTCTTTTCCCTTTTCCTCCACATCTCCGGTTTATGATGAAGTGCCGTTTTCTGACTTCCCAGAAGACCTTACTTGCCATATATTGTTTCCTGGAATTGTCGTACCAAAATTCGAACTCCGTGTGCAATAAAACATAAGTCGACCATGTATTTATCGAATCAAGCTCGAACATCGACTTCACAGCTTCATGTCACGAATCTGCTATTTGAACCAGGTCTTACAATACCAGACGATGGGGAAAGATATCCCACGCAACAGTTACCAGAATCCTGCATTCAGACTCGAAATTGAAGCCGACTATACAGCCAAACGCCTACCCAAACCTACACTCCCCCAGCCTATTGGGCACCCTCATCGGCCCTTTAGGATATTAGACCGAGCCGAACCGAACTCTATCATCCATCAGGTGACAGATGGCATGTGCTCTGTCCAATTCTGTTGATTTGATCTGATATATTGGAAAACCATGAGTTAACCACCGACCGACCGCGGCCATGGGGCAGAATGAACATCGGGATATTACTGCGGGTGCGAGCCAAAGTAAAATGCCCCCTTGTCAAGTACCCAGCACAAACCACCACAGGCAATGGAAGCTTCGTGGCTTTGTATAGGACACTGTGTGGTCAGCGATCGTCAGCAACCTGGCCTCCCACGGGTTTTACTTACATACCCATCTCACCGTATGCATAATAGGCACGATGATCTACATATTGCATTCACGCATGTAGGAATTACGGATGCTCCCGACCGAATCGTTGGATGTTTCTCGGCGGGTCCGTCATATACGGAAGGATCTGAAAGGGGACACTGGGGAGAGGCTCGGAAGTTCATGTAAGGTGCTGATCGGTAAACCGTTCGAGCGGGTCTGGATTTGAGCCTTACATGTTTGTATGTGAATGGTGATCACAGCTCGTTCGTTGTCTGGGTGTTAGCCACCATGCCTACCTATCTGGCTCACTCCGTTTTTTTTAGTGAAAATGCTAAGAGTTCCGAGGATGAAGACCTTGTACAACATACAATAAGCAGTCAGCATGCAAGACCATATTACTTCCGAGGTCTAGACAGACACCTTAAGGATACAAGAACCAACGACCGAGTGGAGTCTCTCCGGTTCCTGCATCTCTTTGCAGTAGCAGCAGCAGCAGCAGCAGCAACAGTACTTCGCTCGCATTCGCGTTCCTTACCTCTAGCCAACGGAATAAAAAGTCCAGAGTGAGGAAACAAACTTAACACATAAGCCAAGTTTAGAGAGCATCACAGCACATACGACCATAGATGGTAGAAAACTCGGGATCCCGTCCGCTCTCCCATAGATAAGCTACCAATCGCCTGACTAGTAGTTGGGTCGGTGACGACCAGCGAATCCCAGGTGTTGTATGTTTTTTTCTCTTTCAATCTTTTGCTGTTTTCCATGTTTCTCTCGTCAGTTCCTTCTGGTTTCCTTTTTTTTTCTCGGTTTTTTTTTTCTTTTCCAGTCTTTTCTGCCCCTGTTTGGCTACTAGATACAATCTATTGCCAGACCAATGAGAACTGGAAACGGCGAGACTCTCAAGTCGGGAACGCGGAGAAGAGAGGAGAGGAGAAATGCACGAGATGGCGTCAAGCATAGAGAAGCATGAAGAAGGATGATCAGCCGCTTTTCTTCCGACGCCGACGAAGGGAGGTATCCAGGTAGGCTACCACGAACAACCCTGAGGCCAGGCGATACGCCATTCCCAGCCCAGAAGAGCGTCTTCTAGGCGCCCTCTAAGAGTTTGGGGACACGGATAACGGCAGTACAAGCCAGTCCACACGACAAAAGCGAAGAACTCGTCTTCTTCCTGTTCTTCGGGCGGTTAGGTAGGTATGAACTCTCATCCCCACTCGGAAGACTTCCTCCGTAATGCGTAAATAGATATCTCCGGCGTTGACTGTATACTTGTGCGTGGACGGATGCAGGAGGCGTTCAAGAAGCTGAGCACCGTATTGACCTGAGTGTGAGGCGGAATGGATGGCGGACGTGGTGTGGACCACCAGGGTTCCGGGCTGCGAAACGAAAAGAAGAAGGAAGCAAGAAGCGTGCCTCGGTGGTCACGAC